CGTTATGTAGTTGGTAGTCCTCCAGTTTTTATGACCGATGCTGCATTGCCCGGTGGCCAGCTTGTTGAGGATCAGTTTTTCTTCTAGCAAAAACAGTCGGTTTCAAAATTTCATTAATGTGTGCTGAGCACCTGGTACAAAAGGAAGTGTATTAACAGTAGTAACAAAACAATGAAGGATAGAGTAAGGATGCAAAATCTGTGCCGCAGGTGCAATTTACCAGATACCATGAACATACACTGTACCCATTGTAGGTGCCCAGCTGAACAAATCGCTTAATACAAATCCCAAGTTTAGCTGGTGGGTTTTTATACATTACCGGTTCCTCATTTCCGATGATGGTGAGGTTTAGTGAAAGTGGTTCGTAACAGCCTTGGTATTCCTTGGAAGTGCTTTTCGCAGCACTGTGAAACGTGGTTGGTAAATAGATTCACCATACAGGCTGTGACAGTAGGCTCGCAGGTTCGATAATGCGTGTTTGCGCTAAACCTGCAGCAATCAGATTGTTTTCTGAATGAATGATTACTGACTTACACTTAGTCTGTGTGTTCATTGGCATAAATTATCGTAAATTTGAATAAAGGAAAATGAACAATTCCCCCTAAACGATAGTTCTTATACAGTGACTTAACTGTTTAACGCGAAATTTCCCCACTCAATTCAAAATTTTCAAATCGTACGTGAACCAGGAAAGTCCCCTTAAAGCTTCAACTCTCCAGTCCTGGCTAAAGGCTAGCAATTTTCCCGCTAAAACTTTCAGGTGCTTGTAAGCAGGGCTTAAATGTGCGTGGAAATTGGCACCGGGTTCTTCGGGTAGCGCTTGGGCAAGGAACTCCCTGAAAAAGTTTCAACATCAAAGCCTGCTTGGTTATCGTGTTGAAATACCTGGAAAACGCACACATACATACATACACATGCACACAAACATAGGCGCACCCCTACACCACGGGTCGCCACAATATGCGTTTTTGCATTTGCACATATGCAGAGATACATAACTGGAACTGGATTGGTCTCTGAATTGACCTTTGAAATGAACCTGAAAAATTCGTTCATCATTCCAGTGCGCATTCAGCTGACTCAGTGAGTAGGCAATTCTGTTATGTTCTCTTAGAAATATAGTATGCATGGAAGTTAGTCCGGGCTGATGACTGTTTCGCTCATCACCAGCATCGAAACACGGATAT